TTCCAACTCTCCCTCACTTTATATCCATTTTCACTTCCTGACTGGTTGCCCTGCGGACTTCGAGTTCCAGCATAAGAAACAAAGATGACAGGCTTATAGACTGTGTAACCTGTTCCCACAACTGTATAAGACCAGCTCTCTGTAACAAATCTCTTATTACTGATAAATACATATGACTCCTACTGGTTTTATTTCTTTGTTTGAACCCTGACTGATACAAGTGCTTAGTATGTGCCAGACACTGATACAAGCCAACTGCTATAACACATCTAATCCACACACTGATGCTACGAGGTAGGCGTGGACAGGCACAGAGGATAAGAAACTTGCCCAAGGTGATGCAGCTACTAAGTGGCTAATAAGATGTCCATGTTATATTGTTAGGTTAAAAATGCAAATTCCAAAGCAATAGAGTAAAATGATTCAACTTAAAAGAAAATAAAACTAGAATAAAAAATATATGCATAAACAGAAAAAAATATGAGAAATACATAGCAACCACTTAAAGTGCTTATTGCTGAAGGGTAAAATTCTGAAGAACATATGCCTTTTATTTTATATAGCTCTTCAATATTTGAAATTTTATGATAGGCAGTTATATTATAATTATACTTGCTGGAATTTATCCCAAAGAAATAAAGGATATGCGTAAAAATTTGGCTAGGAGGTATATATTATGTTATTCTTTCCTACAGCAAGAAACTGTGAAAAACGTAGATGTCCAACAATAAAGGACTGAGTAAATAAATTATGGCATGTTATTAAAATAATGTTCTAGAAGAAGATTTAAATGGCAGGTAAACAGATTATACTATTTTAAGTGAAAAATGTAGGTTACAACATAAATATTTAAACTGGGGTTGCTTTCTTCAGGTTACAAAACAATGTGTACTAGATAGTCTCCTTTGTTGTGGAAAATAACTTCCCTCCATATTTTATTTTCCTATACTTATTTCACATATTTCTTCTACATATTTCTTTTTCTTTTCTTATTAGTTATCCATTTTATACATATTAGTGTATATATGTCAATCCCAATCTCCCAATTCATCACACCACCACTTCCTACCACTTTCCTGCCTTGGCCTCCATATGTTTGTTCTCTACATCTGTGTCTATTTCTGCCCTGCAAACCGGTCCATCTGTAGCATTTTTCTAGGTTCCACATATATGCGTTAATATATGGTATTTGTTTTTCTCTTTCTGACTTACTTCACTCTGTATGACAGTCTCTAGATCCAACCACGTCTCTACAAATGACCCAATTTCATTCCTTCTTACGGCTGAGTAACATTCCATTGTATATATGTACCACATCTTTATCCATTCGTCTGTCGATGGGTATTTATGGTGCATCCCTGACCTGGCTATTGTAAATAGTGCTGCAATGAACACTGGGGTGCATGTGTCTTTTTGAATTATGTTTTTCTCTGGGTATATGGCCAGTAGTGGGATTGCTGGGTCATATGGTAATTCTATTTTTAGTTTCTTAAGGAACCTCCACACTGTTCTCCATAGGGGCTGTATCAATTTACACTCCCACCAACCGTGCAAGAGGGTTCCCTTTTCTCCGCACCCCCTCCAGCATCTGTTGTCTGTAGATTTTCTGATGATGCCCATTCTAACTGGTGTGAGGTGATACCTCATTGTAGTTTTGATTTGCATTTCTCTAATAATTAGTGATGCTGAGCAGCTTTCCATGTGCTTCTTGACCATCTGTATGTCTTTTTTGGAGAAATGTCTATTTAGGTCTTCTGCCCATTTTTTTATTGGGTTGTTTGTCTTTTTAAATATTGAGCTGCATGAGCTGTTTATATATTTTGGAGATTAATCCTTTCTCCGTTGAGTAGTTTGCAAATATTTTCTCCCATTCTGAGGGTTGTCTTTTTATCTTGTTTGTAGTTTCCTTTGCTTTGCAAAAGCTTTAAAGTTTCATTAGGTCCCATTTGTTTATTTTTGTTTTTATTTCCCTTTCTTTAGGAGGTAGATCAAAAAAGATCTTGTTGTGATTTATGTCAAAGAGTGTTCTTCCTATGTTTTCCTCTAAGAGTTTTATAGTGTCTGGTCTTACATTTCGGTTTTTAATCCATCTTAAGTTTACTTTTGTGTATG